CAAAAAGATCATACCTCGTGACCAAGTAGGCTTCATTCCAGGGATGCAAGAATTGTTCAACATAGGCAAATCAATAAATGTAATACATCAGATAAACAGAGGCAAGGACAAAAATTACATGATCATCTCAATAGATGCAGAAAAAAGTCTTTGACAAAATCCAACATCCATTCATGATAAAAAGTACTGAAGACAATAGGTATAGAAGGACTTTATTTCAATCTAGTAAAAGCCATTTAAGGCAAACCTACTGCCAACATCATATTAAATAGTGAAAAACTGAAAGTTTTCCCTCTAAAATCAGGAAAAGTCAATGATGTCCACTATCATCAGTCCTGTTCAACATAGTACCCAAACATTAGCAAGAACAATTAGGCAAGAAAAAAAAATAAAAAGGATACATATAGGAAAAGAAGTCAAATTATCATTATTTGCAGATGAACATGATTCCTTATAAAGAAAACCCCCCAAAATCCACCACAAAACTCTTAGAATTGTGAGGCAGGCGGCGGAACCACTGAGCTAAATCCCGGGCCCAAGACTCCTAGAATTAATAACCAAATTCATCAGTATAGCAGGATATAATATCAACACACAAAAAGTGTTAATGTTCCTGTACACCAATAATTAGCTCATGGAGAAATAAATTAGGAAAAAAATACAATGCATAATAGCCTCAAGAAAAATTACATACTTGGGAATTAAGCTAAACAAAGAAGTGAAAAAATGTCTATTATGAAAACTATAGTACTCTAAAAAACAAAATTGAAGAAGACATCAGAAAAAAAAAAAAAAAAGGAAAGTTATCCCCTGTTCCTGGATAGGCAGAACAAATATGGTCAAAATGGCCACACTTCCAAAACTGATGCACAGATTTAACACAATCTCAATCAAAATACCAATCAAATACACATAACTAGAGAAAACAATCTTAAAATTCATATGGAACCTGGCTGGGCATGGTGGCACAGGCCTTTAATTCCAGCACATGGGAGGTTGAGGCAGGTGGATCACCATGAGTTTGAGGGCAGCCTGGGCTACACAGTGAGTTCAAGGTCAGCCTGAACTACATAGTGAGACCCTGTCTCAAAGAAAAAAAAAATCATATGGAACCAGAAGAGATCAAGAATAGCAAAAGCAATCCTGGGTAAAAAGAGCAAATTGGGAAGTATCACAATCCTGGCTTTAAAGTTATATTACAAAACTACTATGATAAAAACAGCATGGTACTGGCACAAAAACAGATAAGAGGATCAATGGAACAGAATAGAGGGGGCAGACAAAATTCCAAGCACATTCAACTATTTGATCTTTGACAAAGGAGCCAAAAACATACACTGGAGGAAAGAGAGCCTCTTTAATAAATGATGCTGGGGAAACTAGCTATCCACATGCAGTAGATTGAATCTAGAGCCATATCTCTGAGCCAAGTGTTAAACTAAAATCAAAATGGATCAAAGATGTTAAATGTTAAAGCAGAAACACTTAACCTGCCAGAAGATAAAATAGCTAATACTCTTGAAGTCATAGGTGTAGGCAAGGACTTTCTGAACAGAGCCCTGATTGCACAGGAAATAGTACTGAGAATCAACAAATGGGATCACATCAAATTAAAAAGCTTCTGCACAGCAAAAGAAACAGCCAACAGAGTGAAGAGACACCTGTAGAATGGGAAAAATATCTTGCCAGCTAAACTAATTACAAAAAAACTTTTCAAATCACTTAGTCACAATCATATTAGGAGAAACGCAGGGGTTTGACTCATTGAGTGTGTGTCTCTGTGCATGGCTGTGCGGTGTTGGAGTGTGTGTGAGAGAGCTCACACACCATCATCTTCATGGTAGGAAGCCGAAAGATAGCATCTAAAACTGAAGACTGGGAACCAGAAGAAAGTGTGTTATTTAATGACATGGAGGTACGTACCAAAAAATTCTGCTAAGGGTTGACAGCCATTGCCTCTGGAGAGAGGGAGATGGAGGTGTGGAGTCGATGACTTAAGATTTTTAAAAATAAGATTCTCTAAACTATCTGCAAGTAGCACTTTGATTAAAAAATAAATAAAGCAAAAGCAAATCCACACCAAATGCAAGTGGAAAATTGCTGCACCTTCCCTGGAAGGCTTTGTGTCACAGGCAATGGGCACATAGAGCTGAGGCTACTTCCGAGTCACCTGCTGCCCACCGTTCCTTTCCCCAGAACAAACGGGGGCGCTCAGAGCTGATGACCCTTAGAGGAAGGAGACACCTGTGCAGGGGCAGAGGTCCACTGTTTACTTGCATAGCCACACCAGTCATTTTAATGTGTATTGGAAAAACACAATTAGCATATCAAACCTGGAGATTATTGTTTAGGATGAAGCCAAGTTCATTAAATGAAAGGATTTAAGGAAAATACAGTCAGTCCTTCATATCCATGGGTTCCACGTCCTCAGATCAACCAACCATGGAGAGAAAAATATTAGAAAAAAATTGTGTCTGTACTGAATGCGCACAAACTTTTTCCCGGTCATTATTCCCTAAACAATATGCACAACAACTATTTACATGGTATTTACATTGTATGAGGCATTCTAAGTAATGCAGAGATGGTTTAAAGTATTCAGGAGGATGCATGAAAGTCATACACAAGTATTACAACATCTTCTGCAATGGGTTTTAGCATCCATAGAATTTAATGTCCCTGAGAATGGAGTCTGGGACCAATTCCCCTCAGATACTGAGGGACAACTGTACTAGAGTGACAGCAGAGGAGACAAGTGGAAATGGAGAGAGCCATTCAAGTAGGATGGGAATGACTGGAGACACAGGCAATACTGACCAAGTTTAAACCGTTGGGTTAGGACTCAGGATGGAAAGGGAGAGAGAGATAGAGAGGGGGAGAAAGGACTCACCCAGGGTCCTATAGAAAGACAGTGGAGTGGTGACCTCAGCTCTCCAAGAGCACGTGGCCAAGATGCAAGAAACTGAGGCTGGGCTTGCCCTGCTCCTGTGTGAAGCCTGGCGTCTTCTGTGCAATGGTGCTGCAGCCATCACACAGATCATGAGGATGAATGGTTGTAGAATGTCCTGCTGGAGAGCTTATGACTGTGTGCCAGAAACAAGGACCGTGACAAGAGCAAACATTTATGCGGGGTGTGCGGTGTACTGAAAAGCCTTCAAAGGACTTTATATACTTTGACCTTCTTCCTCCTTACACAACCTAGGAAATGGTGTGGCAGCTAGCTTGCAAGACAGTTCCAGGGACTTTGGCTTCCTGGTAGACACACTCCTGTGTGGTCCCCTCCCACACAGAATAGGGCTGACCTGTGGAACCAAGAAGTACTGCAGTGAGGATGGAGTGTGACTTTCACCCATGGGTCAGAAAAGACATTTGGACTTCGTGCTTGCTCTCTGTTGGATCAACTATCCTGAGGAAAGCCAGCTGCCATGTCATGAAGACACTCAAGCAGTTCTACAGAGAGATCTATACGGTGAAAACCTCCTGCCAGCCACCAACAAGAACTTACACGACTGGTGACATGCTTTGTCTCCCAACTAATCGATACCCTGCAGGAAGGCAGGGAGGAGCCTTACCTGTTCTACACTGCATCCTTGAGCTTGGAACAGTGCGGACACATAGTAGGTCCCTCACATTTTGGTTGACATTTTCTCGTCTGCCTGCTGATGCTTTGTCTCTCCACCAGGTAGGGACCTCCCTGGGGCTGGCACCATGTCTGATTCACCTTAGCACTCTCAGGCCCAGCACAGGACCGGAATATATTTGTGGAGTGACTGGATGATCAAAGTATTGAGGGACTAATGGCAGAAACACCTCGGGTCTCCTGGGTCTCCTGTGGGAGAAGTCACGGGCTTGGGAGGCTGCTAAGACAGGGTGGCTTCCAGGCCTAGGGTTACCACCTCTCGTCTTCTGCTGGGGAGAAAGGGACAGAGGGGAGAGGAGGCGGACCTAACAGTGGGGCCTGGCACCTGCAAGCTGGCCGGGTTTAGCGGCCCACGCTACACTCCGGAACCTTCCGAAGAAGGGCTGTGGTTGGGCCAGCTCACAGAAGGCTGGGAGTCCCGCCTCTCCTCTCATAGCCCGAACTTGGAGCAGATAAGGTGGGGCTGCAACCCTGAAGAAAGGGCGCGCTTTCATTTGCAGAGGCCAGTGGGGCGGGCAGAGGCTCTCTGTTCGGCCCCTAGCGGCCGCGATGACGCATCCTTTCTCTGGGCCCCCAGGCTCAGTTCGCCTTTCTCCATCAGAGTCAGGTTTACGTTGCCGATTTGTCTGCCCCTCTGTCCCGGCGGGTGTAAAGTTCTGAGTGTGGTGTCTGTGCGCCTCATCTCCCTCCCCGTGATCACAGAGCGTGCAAGATGGACACAGAAAGCAGCTCCATGTCCCCAAGGGAGGACTGGGCGCAGGGATCCCGACCTGCACCCCAGCTTCTCGCTGATCGCGAAAATCTCGGCGCCCTAGCCCTGTTCCCCGCTCGCGCCGCGTCGGTCTGTGCACCCTGCAACATCATCTTCCCTCCCGCCCTGGCTGTCCTTGACATTTCTCCGCCTCAGACCGGCCTGCCACCTCCTCCAGGAAGCCCGTGCTGCTTCCCCCAGACCTGCTATCTGCAGGGACGGGAGTTTCCCCTTGCTCATCCCTGCGTCTGCAGCGTCCCGCACTCGGGCGGACCCGTCGAGGGGTCGTGGAGCGCCCGCCGAGAGAGGAGGGAACCAGGGATGCCAGGAGGCGGCGGCGGGAGGAGCGTGGGGCGGAGGCGGCAGGAGGGAGTGAGCGCGCGCGCCGGAGGCGGCCGCCCAGGGCCGGGGCCGCGCGCCCAGCCTGAGCCCGCCCCGCCGCTAAGCGTCACCGAACCTGCTTGAAATGCAGCCGAGGCGCCGGGGCGGGCGGCAGCGGCGGCGGTGTTGGCGGGGGCAAAGGCAGCGGGAGCCCCGGCGCCGCAGCGAGGACTCGGTGGGCTGAGGCTCGGCGGCGGCGGCGGCGCAAGGGGCGTGGGGCGCGGCGGCCGGAGCCCGGGGCCCGCCATGGGCCGCCGGGAGCGGGGCGCGCTCCGGCCGCTGCTGCTCCTGCTCCTCCTGGTGCTGCAGCATCTCGCGGCGGCGGCGGATCCGGCGCGCGGCGGCCAAGGTGCGTGCAGCGGATCCCCGGCCGGCTCCGCGCCGCCAACAAAGCGAGGCCCGGCGGCCGGGGGGAGGGTGGCCACGGGCTTCTCGGGAACCCCATCCCACTATTTGCCCTGGACCCCTGCCCGCGCTCCCCGGGCTGAGAGCACCGCGTCCCGCTCCTGGGGGATGGGCGCAGCGGGGCCCGGCCGGCCGTGAACTCCGCGGGGGGGCGGGGCGCTCATTTCATGTTTTCGGGTGAACGGCGCGGTCCTCACCGGTGGGGCTTGTGTGACACGCGCCCCGCCCCGGCGGCCAGCTGCGTCCCCGCCTGACAATGCGTTTCCGGGGACCCTTGCGCGCCGGGCACAGTGACTGCTTTGGAGGGGGACGAGCCTGTGCTCTCAGTGCGTGTCGCGCCGGGCCTCTGGGCTGAGTCTGCGTGGATCTAGCTCTTTTGGCCGCGTGTGCAGCTGAGTTTTTGAATGGAGGGTGTACCCCGGACGTGTGACACCGGCTCTTTAAGTGTGTGCATGGTCTCACTGTGCCACCCAGCGGGCCGCCACCCGAGAAGCCCTGCGCATCCAACCCTGACTGTAGGTCGAGGGTGCCCGAGGTACCTGGCGTCGCCCCCTTTCCTTCACCTCAGATTCCTCGGCGGTCCAGGCTGCCCGGTGGGGACCTGAGCTCGGTTCTGCTGACCCAGCTCACGACTCCCCCCACCCAACCCCCAGGGCCGGTCAAGGAGTGTGAAAAGGACCAGTTCCGGTGTCGGAACGAGCGCTGCATCCCCTTGGTGTGGAGATGTGACGAGGACGACGACTGCTCGGACAACAGCGACGAGGACGACTGCCGTGAGTGGCCAGCCGGGGCGCTCAGGCCGGGGTGGGGGGCAGGGATGGGGGTGCCGTCTCTGTGCGCGCGCGCGCGCCGCAGCAGCCACGCGGGCCACCTGCTTCAGCCTGGCCGCCTCCCTCTGAACGGGTGTCTTTCTGCGACCGGGAGGAAACCAGGAGGCTGGGGCGCCTCCCTGTAGGGCCCGGGGCGGAGCCAGGAGGCTGTAGCACGCCCTGCCGGGCGGCAGGGAGGCGGCAGTCCCTGCACTCGTCTGCCTTTCCGCCATCCGGCCCTCCGGGGCAACCCACCGGGCCCCACGGGGCGTGCGCGTGTTCCAAACTTCCACGCAGTTGCGGGCCGCACCACGCTCTTTTCCCGGCGCTCTCTTTTTGTGTGTGTGTGTGTGTGAATGAATGGGCTCCCCGGGGCCCCTGATTGGCTGGGCAAGGACCACCCCATAGGCCTCCGTGACCGGAGCGACCAATCGTGGGGCGGGCGGGTGTATAACCTTCGGGGGGCCCTGAGCCCCAGAGCGGTCGCGGGAGGCCTTGCCCTGGCCCCCCACCCTGGCTGCATAGCTGTGCTCATCCCCTGGGTGGTAGGTGCAGGCTGAGTGCCACTCACGCTGCTTTTTTGTTGAGTCACCCTGAAGACCTTTCTTATTAGCCTACCAACCCCGCCTGGGCATGAGTCACAGGGCCACCAGGAAGGGGAGCAAGAGGAAGGATGTTTCCTGGAAGGGGCCCGCCCGAACCCCAGGTCCCTGGGCCGAGCAGGGTGTTTGCACACTCGGGCTCGACTGATTTGGGGGTTTTGGGTGTCTCTGAGACCGGAAGCCATTAGCAGGCAGTTGCTCCGGGAAAGGAATGTAGTTTCAGGAACAGAAAAACAGCTCTTGGTTAAGCACTTGCCACCAGCCTTCTTAGCCTAATTGTGACCCTGATCATCTCCCAGTGCCAATGATGTTAAGAGTGTGGCTGTAGGGGCGGGGGATTTAGCTGAGTGGTTTCGCCGCCTGCTGCGCAAGCGCAAGGACCCAAGTTCGATCTCCGGTACCAAAAAAAAAAGTGTGGCTGTGGCCGGGTAATGTATCAGAGTGGGTCTCATGCCTGGAAGCTGTTCCTCTGGTCCCTGTAGAAGGGACATGCTGACATGCTGACAACGACGAATAGGGATACAAACTGTACTTCTGGGCTGGTTACACCTTGTCCTCCTCCACTCTTTATAGTAAGTCTTGTGGTTGCAAATTTAGAGCAGAAGCTTTTCCTGTTGTCCTGCATTATAGATAAGAACACTGGCTCAGGGAGGTTGAGTGATTTGCCCAAGGTCACAGAGCTGAGAACAGAACTTGGTCAGGATCTCCCTCTGCCTCCTTGCTCAGGAGTACTGTCTGCTTCGCTGTCTGCTTCTTGGGGAGTGAGTGTGCTGTGGGAGGATCTTGGAGCTGGAAAGCTGAGCTGTAAATGTTGGGCTTGTTGTTTCTCATCTTTATAAGGCACTGGGCAGGATAGAGTGAAGTAGCCAGTGGCTGAGTGACCCCAGGTGGGACCAGGGGAGTGGTGGTAGCCAGTCTGGGCTCCTGCTTTGGTTCTGAGAGGGTTGGGATAGTCATAGAGTTAGTGGACAAAAGGACAAAAGGCCCATGATGCCTGAGCTTGGGGTGGGAAGGGTGGTGGCTTCCATAGTCTCACTTACATGGAGCTTGACTTTGCTGAGCTTGCTTCCTCCTCTGCCAGAGAGTGCAGCTGCCGCTCCATGCCCTGTCCTGACATCTCACCGGCCTGGTGAAGACAGGGGAGAGTGGACCCATGTCCTACCTTGAGGCCTGCAGAAATGAGCTCCAAAGCAGCCACAATGGACAATTGAAGAAACAGCGTGAGGCTTTGGGTGGCTGTGTTGGGGCCACCTGCCCAGACTGTGTGTCACTGTCTCTCCTGGAGGCTGCTGCCCACAGAGGCCTCTGCCTGACCACCTCCCTCAACACCTTACCCTGCAAAGGGGGCCTGAGCTGCTTTCCTCTGCACCTCTCTGGGCTGCAAAATAGGGGCTGGCATTTATAAATAATATCTGTGTGAGGCAAAATGAGTTCCAGCTCCCAAAGGGGCCAGAATGCAGCTCCTGAATACCAAGAGGCTGATGCAGGCTGGCAGGAAGGAGTTTTTGTGTTGAGGAGGCCAAGAAAGCCTTCCTGGAGGGAAGGGAGCTGAGCTAGGCCTTGACAGATGGGAGCTAATGTCATTACCTCAGCATTTACCATTTGAATGTAGGTGGTGTGGACCCCATGTTACAGAGGATGCTGAGGCACAGAGGTGACTTCGTCCCCCAGAGTCACACGGCTCCTTGGGGTTGGACCTGGAACTCAAACTGAGGCCTTCTCAGTCTTGATGCTTATCCATAGTGAGTAGAACTTGGCTCTTTGGACATGCAGATGGAGCTGGTAGGATGGGGAAGGGAAAAGCTTGTGGGGCTTCAGTTCCCAGCTCAGAGGGCCTTCAAAGTGGAGGAAAGGGCCGGAAACCTGGGGCGGCCCAGCCTGAGGAAGTCTGGTGGGATTCCTGGCTGTGGGCCTGGGTCACGTAGGCACCTGGTGCCTAGGCCTTGGTTTCCTGTCGCTCCCTGGTGTCTGGGAGTAGAGGTGGGGATTCTGGTCTCTGGCCAGGCCTTCACTCCCAAGTGACAAGCGTAGCACTGATCATCACTCACCGAGCGCTTGCTGTGGACCAGGCATGGCACTGAGATCTCACGCGTGTCCCTCTGTGCTCCTCTAGCCAATGAAATAGGGCGACTCTATGAAGTGCCTGGATTGTCCCCAGTTTGTAAAGGCACAGAGTGGGGAGTTGGCCTGAGGGTACCTGAATTTTGAGTGAAATTGCTGGGGTGTGAATGAAGGCGTGCCACTGTGGAACCTGGGCTGTCTGGAGTACTAGCTGGTGACCCTAGCGAGTCCCCTCCACCAGACCTCTGTGTCTCATCTTGACATGACATTGTAAGGCTCTGGCCCTGCACATCCCCCCAGCTCTGGGGAGAAAGGGTAGGTAGACAGGTGGGCCAGGCTTGTGGTCATCCAGCTGCACCTTGTTCAGACTGCTTGTGACTCCCCTGTGTCCCCAGCCCCATTACCTCTCCATCCCATGTTTAGTACCATGGCCGAAACCAGGTCTCCTGCAGCTGAGTTCATCGGCCGGGTAGGGCCTGGCTGCAGGTGAGGGACTGCAGCTCAGCCACTCCTCCCCCAGTGCTGGAGTCTGCATCCAACCCCAGGCCCAGCTTCAGCCCCTTTTCTGAGTGGAGTCCTCTAACACACAGTGCTGCTCTTCTCTGAACCTCAGTTTCCTCCTCTGACCGGGCAGCTCTACCATTCCAAGTCCTGCTGGGGCTGCTAAGTACCCCAAGGATCAAGTCCGCCTTGCCACGTCTGCATGTGGCCTCTAGTCTCAGTCCTGTGTCCACTCCCCTCCCACCTCTTCCTGTGTGCCTGGCCACCAACCCATAGCTCTGTCACTCTGCCGTCCTCATGCTTGCCTACTGCTTCTCACCTCCACACCTTTGCACATGCAGGTCCACCCGCCAGGAACACCGTTCTGCCCCTCACTATGTTCTTTTTGTCATTTTAGAAGATTCTGTCCTTCAGGAACCCTTCCCTGCCTCCTCTCTCCCCCAGGATGACATACAGGGGTTGATCTAAGAGACTTTGGGACCTGTGTTGAAATCTCAACTCCATGCACCCTGGATCAGATACACCAGGTTTCACACCCTAGCCATTCCTTCCTCCCAGAGATGCCATGAGGATTAAGTGAGACCCTGTGCTCAGCGGGGAGAGTGGTGTGGGATGACTGGCGATGGGGGACTTGAGAGAGGGGTTCCCCAAGGGCTCTGGCCACCTGTCTGCTTAGCCAGATGTTGTCTGAAGGCTCCTAGAACAGGTGCTTGCCTCCCACTGAGGGTTGCTCAGCCATGTGGAGGTGGTCCCAAGGCCATACTCAGCTGCCAGGTGACATGGAGAAAGTGGCCCAAGGAAGGACTGGGGAAGAAGTGAATCCAACAGGCCTGATGGGTCTCAGTGAACAAGTAGCCTGGGGCCTAGGAAAGGCCGGTCCTGTGGCCTCCCGCTGGCAGTAAGTAGTAAGTGTAGTCCCCTTGGCTCTGCCAGCAGCCCCAAGCTTCCCTTGCTTCCGGCTCTGTGCCCCAGGGCTGACTCAGCAGACCTGGGGAGTGTTTGGTGAAGGCCGTCCCTTCGGCCTTCCCACAGGACCTCCCGGGCTGGGGTCCCATTTGTGAGCCCCTGGGTTTCTCTAGGAGTCTGTGCTGCAGTTGGCCCAGGGCTGGTTGGCTGCTTCCTCCTCAGTTGTCTGTAGGTGGCTGACTTGACAGCTTTCCCTCCTTGGGGAAATGCTGGTAGCAGGTGAAGCCAGAGAGGGAACCCAGCAGAGTGAGGTCCCAGAGGGTGATGGAGCAGGTGCCTCTCAGGAGGTGCAGCCAGATGGATGCTCTCAGGACCCACGGTGAGCACTTATGCCCAGGCCTAGCACCATGCCACCCCCCTGAGCCTTCCCTGACCTGCCCTCTGGCCCCTGTGCTCCCGCAGCAAGCACAGGCTTGTCCTCTTCTCAGCCTGCGGTCTTTCTTCACCCTGGTCCTGGCCTTGGGCACTAGGTTCTCCAGAACCAGTAGCTCCCTGGAGGAAAGTACTGATAATAGACGTTGACTGCTTACGCCTTGCCTTGGGCCATGCTGGGCTGTTTGCTTTCATTTGCTTTGCTACTCAGAACCATGTGAGGGCTGATTTCTTATTATTCTCATTTTATTTTTATTTGTGTATTTATTATTCTCACTTTAAAGATCAGGGAGCAGAGCTCAGAGAGAAGGAACTTGGTCAGTGCTGCGGAGGTTGACCATTTCTGTCTGTCCTGGAGCCTAGGCCCGGCCTGGAGCTGTCCTCTTGGAGCTCTGTCTACCCTGGTGGGGTCTGGTGCTCTGAGGATGTGGAAGAAGCAAAGCCTCCCTGGGCTCCAGTTTT